ACGGCTCGGGAAGAAAACGAGGGACTAGAGGAAAGCTGATTCCAGACTTTTTCTTGTTCCCTTGAAAATGTGGTCCACGGGATGATTCGTCGAGGATAAATTCGGCCGGTCGGATTCGTGGTGTCGCCCTGGGTCGTCAAAGAGCGGTCGGTCACCACTTTAATAGCAAGGGTGAGCGAATGACATGTTTCAAGATATTGATGGAGAGTCAACGGTTGGGATATACCAGCGCGTTCTTCAGCAGCTTCTCGTCGTCGTTGCTCGTCTTCGCGTCGTCGTTGCTCTTCTTCGCGTAGGCGCTGCTCTTCTTCGCGTAGGCGCTGTTCTTCCCGTAGCTGCTTCCGCAGACTCTCAATTTCTTCCATGGGGGCTGATGGATTTGTGCGAGAGGAGAGCGGATGATCAGGGTCGAGAACTGGTTTGTGGTAAGGTCTCTGAAGACGGGAAAACATCGGGACAACAGAAGCCTTGCGGCCTCAGGTAATCACGTCATGAGTGGTTTAGCCTGGCGTTGCCCCAGAAACATCCGATGTTAATCCGGTAGCCGAGGGTGCAGTTACGACCATCTGTCATCTGTATTTCTGGGGCAGACAGAGGCCTCCAATTCTTCGGACAAATAGGATACTCATTCCTTCATGGCCTGTCAAAAAATGGAAAATCTTACAGAGTACGACAAGCTCCAAACCGAGGACGAGTCGGATCCGTAGCACGAGAATTTGATGAGAATAGCAAACTTGTCTTTCTCCTGCTTTTATTTAGGGGGTCAATCAGGTGACAATTTTTCAGGGGGTTTGATGACTAATAAGACGAAGAAAACTTTTGTGACTAAGCCAACTCGCCGCCCGCCCGCCCCGCGCTATGAGTCAGCAGCTGCGCCCTGCCTATTGGAGCTAGAATTGCACCCCTTAGGTTGTACCGCTGTAATTGCTCTGGCGTTCGGCTGCGGCTCAGCATCTTGGAGACCATACTTGTGCAAGGATCCCTAGGATTGTCATGCTGCAGTGGTAACGACTGTAAATTGTTTGGGCCGAGGAATGAAACTCTTACGTCGTTGATGAATTGAGTATCGTATTGAGGACAGTAAACTCATCATACGTGCGTAAACTCACCATTGAAGACCGTAGCTTGGTACCACTCACTCAGCTTTATGACCCAGACGCCATCACTGCCACACATCGCACAGTCGCTTGCATTCCACCAGATCAAACAACAGAGAATACTACAGAATTCCAGCCATTAGAAGTTGACATAGCTGGCCAGGCCGTACACTCCCAGTATCTGTAAACGGCAGAAGCTTCCCAGCCGAGGACTCCCTGCCCCTCGCCCCGGTCCGAACTCAACGGGTACCCGCCGAGCACGTGATGATAATGGTGCAATGACGCTGACTTAAGTACTCATCGGTCCGATCACCAACATCTTTTTGAGGAGGATAGAAAACAAAGCCAAGAAGAATGAATGACTGGTCGTCCTCGATTGTCAAACATGATGTTTGAGGGGGTGATATCGTTGTGAACGTAGCCTATGGAATGCAAATGGTCGATCACAGCCCACAAGGCCAGAGCCAGTGTGGGGCCATCACAGGTTGTGATAATTTTATCCCCGTTTGAGATAATTTTCATCGCATGCGGCGGAGCGACTTCCGAGCTCTGAGTTCCCGAACATCCAAACAATCAACTGGCTTCCGCCTGCTGGCAGCCTGCGCAGGCTAAGGCCAAGTCTCGGAGAACACTTCTACGAAGGCAGTGCAACGAGGTCCACTCCTCTAACTGGAAAATGATGAATTCTCGAGCCCGGTTTCTCGCAAGTAATGCGATGGCTGGACGATATATTTTTCCCGCCTGATGATGCCCAAGGCTGGGCCACTACTGCTTTTCATCGGGGATAAAACTGTCCAAATTGGAGCAGGTGATGGTAACTCTGTCGGGGAAATAGCAACATGGAAGAATGGTGGGCCGCGGTCAGTGACGGACAAAAGGGAGGGTTGCATATAATGGCATTAGGTAAGCAATGAGGGGATCATGGCGTAACGGAGGAGGCGCTAGTCATCCTCGTTGCCACGTCAGCGAGACACTACATCCCATTGAAAACTCGGGCATCCGATGGGAAAAGTGTCTTAAATTTCGCAGGCAACAGTTAATATGTGAAGTTCCTCTGGACTCGATCGCGTACATATCCATTATGCAATGCCTCTCAAGTTGTCGAGTATCCCCAACTAACGCCCCATCTCGCGCTTGTTCCACAGATCTCACCCAAGATGCTACGAGACCTTAACCATTTGTCCATCCATCCAGTGATCTGCGAATAGGTTTCGTCGTCAGCAGACACCAAGCCCAGTAAACTACAGCGCAGCGTACATTAGGTCATCCATACCCATTACAAGTTGGGCAGACGCCGTTACCTTGACGTCCTGTTCCATCACATGCGTCGCATTTATCAGGCATAATTGAAGGGCGACAGCAAGAAAGACTGCTGAGCAAAGAATACGTGGACTGTCGGTATTAAGTTGGGTTGTGCCATCACGGAGCGCATGGGTCATCTATATATGGTACGCAAGAATCGTTGTATCACGAGGAACTGAAGGTGGAGTAAAGTTCAGCTAATCACAAGTTACCATTAGCGGCTGGGCGGAACACTTGGGCCAAGATGTAGGCAAGCTCCAGGGCGCTCCTCCTCCACCTCCCTCTCCCAACGATGTCGCACCACTCAGGTTTCCAGTTCGGCGAGGAGTGTCAGTGTTGCGGCGAGAAATTTCATTCAAACGAAGAGTTGCTTGATCACATTGATTATTTCCAAGTTAGTGCCCGCAAACCACCTCGATCACCTGCTAATTCGCCTAGGATCTCGCAGCTTATCATCAAGCGGCTGCGGACCGTGCGCGGATGCATATTCTTTCGCGTCGCAGGAATGACAACGAAGCCGGAGAACGCTTACATTACGACGCCAATGTCGATGGCGATGACGAGATCAGTGCCAATTGCGATGACGACCGCGATGACGACCGCGATGACAGCGGTAATGGCGCGAACGATGTTGATAACAGCAACCGCGATGGTGACGACGGGGCCATTAAAAAAGCAAGCAACATGAAGAAATTGCAATGTCATGAATGCACGGCCAAACCAACGACACGACAGAATGCGCAACGGCATTTCCAACAACGTATGTGTCCTGATCCGTCATACCACGCAGCTAAGTCTGGCAGACGTAAAAGTCAACGTCATATGCCCCCATTGTATGGAGCCCTTTGGTTGGGCAAACCGATACCTTTCGCACAAGTGTATCCGGGCAATGAAAGACCCGACGGATGATTTCCAAGCCAGCAGGATTATACGCAAGGTCAGACGAAGGTGGGAAAGATCGCAGCTAAGGAGATCGGGGGCATCCACAATTGAGAATGACTCAACACATCGGAAGCGAAAACGCGTCAGGCCGACCATCGGTGAAAAGGAGAGCGAAAGCGGGAACAATCGGAAATTCGGGGTCAGCGATCAGTGGCCCGACGGCATATTGGAGTATGGGAGAGGGGTTGATTATCGTCAAAGCGTCAATGCCATGCCGTCTGTCAGCAATAATCCTGACGACGACGGGATGTGGTTCAGAGGTAATATGTTTCGCAGGCCTCATATGGAGACCTCCGCAGCCTGGGTCAGCGGCAGCGCCGGGGCAATTTCGGAGGCGTTAAGTCATCAGCATCAGGAGCCTTACATTCAGTATGTGAGTAGCACCTTGACGCTTCCTGGAAACGGAGAGACGATATCTGAGAACACGTCCCATGATTGGGAACATCCTACCCGGCTTCCGACTGGCAATGTACCGTCTCATGAAAACGCTGCTAGAATCTCCGAACCACCTTTCAGTCGCTGGGCGGATTCCGGGCAGTACCTGGGCAGTGGTGCTGCTATGCCTGGCGATGGGGACATGACAGGCGAAGTGCCATCGTTGGGACTCTGCGAGACGATACCTAGGCAACAGTGTCATAGGGAGCGAGAACGAGGGTCATGGCTGTATGGACAGCATCAAGGCTAGAAACGATGGTGAGGTCACTTGAACGCATGAACCAGGTGACTCGGCCAGGTTAATATCATCAAGGGGATCACAAAACTGTCGATGAATGGTATCTCTGACACATCGGTCGATAGCACCGCAATCATACCGAGCATTCTCCATCTGAAGCTTCCTCAGCCCTGCCTTCGCCTGCACTTTCCTTTTCCTCAAGTGCAGCATGTATGTTCATGCCAGCTAGTTCGCTCGGTTTCAATGAGTTTGGGATGCTTAGGAGTGGCCAATCCATAGGTCGCTTCTTCAGCACCTCCGGCGTGGCAAATGCGGCGACAACGGGACTCGTATCTCCGAAATCAACAGCGAGGCGGGCATCGAGTATGACACTATTGCCAGTTAGATGATGTGAAGAGGAGAGTAATAACTCACAGTCCACCATCCTTAAAGTTGATCGGCGTCCCTAGACAACCCGCGGCTTTCAGCTCAGCACCTAGAACCTGCCACAGATTGTTGGTGGCTAGTATCCTCCAGAGGTCTGCATCTTGCGATTTTCGATAGTATATTGGACTTGAGCCAATTCCCCAGAGATGCACGAGGAGCACATCGTCGTTGCCACCACGTCTGAGCTGAAAAATAGTGCCTCGGGATGGAGCAAGTCTTGTATAGTCGGCTAGAATATGCGGTCTCTTGAAGGCACTTAGGGTATCTTGAACGCGCTGCAAGCGTTATCATTAGTTCCAATATGAAGGCCACTCGAACTAACCGTATCCTTCAGGACGTTGGCTTTGCAAAAATTGAAGCCTTCGACCGTCTTGAATGAGAACGACCACTTCTTGTTCTCCATCTCCAGGAAACGTTTACCAAGCTCTCCATCCTGAATCGAGAAGAACCCATGTTCCTTTATGGCCGCGCGCGCCTCGTCAGCAGAGAACGTAGTGGCCATCGTGTGTTGTGGAAAAGTTTGACGACATTGTGCTTGGGTTTGAATGCTTGTACAATACTCCCGCAATGAGGTGGGGGATTGTCGTGTCACGCGGACCGAAAATTTTCCGTGCAAATCAGGCCGACCCTGTGATTGCCATTCAACTGAAGTGGCACTCTCCTATATTTCCTGATCCATGTAGAAGTAAGTACTGCGTCGCACTTGTCAGCCTCACCTTCAAATTCCAGATTTAGTAGCAATCTCAACTGCCTAAGGGCACACGGCCTGTTTTGAAATATGATGTTAGTTATAAACTCGTCAAGTACATTACCATGGCTCAATCTCAAATTGCAATAAAAGCGATCTCCAAGTGCGATGAAAGCTATCTCAAATTGGGATAAAGTGATCACAACCCGGAATGATTACACACCCAAAGCGGGAGCATGGCGAGGACCCTGCCTAAAGCTAGTGACTTCGGACTCGCTGTCTAGTACGGGTGTGAATATCGGTCAATGATCCCACCACGGGGAGCGGTCGGCGTGCCATCGACGAATAGGACGCTTCAGATACGTAAGGCTTGTTCCGCAAAAGCTGATTGAACGTAGCTCATCCTGCAGTGCGTGCATGCGAGTCAATTAATCGATCACTCGCAACCCTACGAACGAGGCTTGCAGGAACAGCCGCGTATATCGCAAGGATCAGGCCTCGAGAAGTCCCTGGTGAGCACCATCGGCGGAGGCGCCGTCCGAATGGCCAATTCTGGTGGGATGAACCAACGTGTCTCATACCCCGTTTATCTAACTGAATGGAAGGCCAGGGTTCACCATTACGGCTTGCGTACCGACGCCGAAAAGTCGAAGCCGCGGCCACCTTACATGCAGCCGGCTCAGGGAGGTATTCTTCTCGGTCAATACAGGCGGTACGGGATAGGATGATGTATCAAGACTGGGTAAACATCTCTCTAGAGCATAAAGTCGGCGTATCCCTTCGCTTTAATAAGCTCTCGAAATACACTTACCTGAATATGCTGCCTACTACCTTTCGACCTTGACTCCCATCAATATTTTCTGGTAGGATACCAAAGGAAGAAATCTGGTAAGCTATTTTTACTTATTTTCTTTACTTGCCTAACACTATCCATAGTATGTGTATATCTCTATGCGCTTGCTCCTGTCAGGACATTTGCCGGACTCTTATCCAGTCAGGTTCGAAGCTCTGCAAAGCGTGTGAGCAACTGTGTTGCTGAAGCTTTTATTAACTTTTTTAAGAGCACTACAAGTCCATTTGTAAGGCAGGCTCGAGATGTTATCTTATTTGACACTTGGAACTAAGCTAACTTATTTTAATGCTATAGCTTGACTCATAGCCCAATCCAAGATGTGTGGCACCGAACAACAAAACATCAAGCCCAACGATTCCTCCTCCCGAATTGCACCGAGCACTGTGACTACAACAGCGGCACAAATGGCGGGCAATCTCTCGCCTACCAGTTCCCGGGGAGCTGGTGACATGGCTAGCCTCCCTCAGTCACCTACTTGCCTGGCCGCTCCTCTTTCGACTCCTACCAGTATCCAAGAACCGACACGCACATTGTCGTTTGGCATAAATGATGCTAGATCAGACCGCTCTTCAGCATCTGCTAATAGTAACCGGTGCTGTGACGACAGAGGTAGCGCACCACTGGACCCCGGAGAAGCCGACGATACAGACAGTTGCCACGCTCCCACTCGTGAGTCTTTGGAAGGAACATCATTAGGATCTTCCCCAAAGTCCACTAGCAACTCCCTAGAAACTCAACCCATACAATCAAGCAGCCAAACCCGCACGAACGGAGGCACATCAAACTCGCAGGAAGAGTCTACTTCTACAGACGAACAAAGTCCACGCAGCGAGTGCAACATGCCCCCAGATTGTGAAGCAGACGATGAAGTCGGAACTCCTGCAACGTCGCCAGCCACCCATGGTGCAGAGGACAATCCACAAGATCAGCAGACAGAGCCTGACTTGAGCGACATGTTACAGCCAAACCTCTCGGCGGCAGACCTTGAGCGCTTCAACAAGTACCTCGAAGTGAGTGTGGCCAAAGTCGCGAAATAGAGACCTCACTAACGAGAGGAAGCCTGGGGACAGTCGGGATGAGTAGACAGATTCAACTCATCTTGGATGAATATTGGGAATAACATTTCCATCGCTGGGATACTAAGCGACGATAGCAATAAGATTCTCTGTTGACTTGATACCTCTGCAACTCGTGATATTGTGAATCAATGGCTGTGACAATGCGACAAAACGATCGACCGACCGCCTGCCCACTTCACTATAGTAGCAACTATACTCACGCTCCAGGAAGATCCTGTTCGTTATCCACACTTTGCCATATCATGGTTGTGAAAGTGCACGCCCCGAAGATGACTTGAGACCTGAAGTGGAGGTGACACGTGACACGATGTATTGATCGGCTTCGAACACCGCTATCAGCCAGTGCGAAGCGCCCAACCCCCGCTCCGTGACGAAACAACACTTGCTTTCGCAAAACGTATATAAACACAACGTCTTCGCTCATTCTACGGAGTGAGGTTTTCAATTCTATATTATAACAATGGAACAAACATTGCGAGAACTTGTCCATGCTGCGGCTGATGCCGCACAGCAAAAGCCTAGGCAGGAGCTAAGGATAACGGGGAAACACCAAGGGATAGCACAGGCTTACCAACGAGCCCTTTCACCAGAGGCGAAGAGCGTGATTGACTTCATAATACTCAATAAGGTGAGTGAGCGTCGCTGCTGACGGGACCTATGTCTGACGCCGATGTAGCGTACAGAAATCAAAGCGCTAGCCAGCAGGGCTGGCCTCCCCGAGCCCAAACCGAAAGGGCTGTCGGTACTTGAGATAGGAAAAGGATATCTTAAAACTGGGCGGCAAGAACTCGGGATCGCGATTCCTCTTGCCTCGGACGCCAGGATCGAGCTTCAAGCTGGCGACTGCGAATCATTTAGTGGCATAAGTGCTATACCTCCCGATACCGACTTCACGACGCAGCCACCAGAACGGCTGTTCCTGCTCTTCTTACTCGGACCAACTGAGGCACGAAAGGAACATGAGGAGAGGGAGGGAATGACCGCGCTAGCAGGACGCTCAGAAACGCACAACAGCATCGAGTAAATGCTCCGGGAGCGGGTTCGAAATGAAGGATCTATTGAGTCAAAATAAGTTTCTATTCTCGTCCAACATGTGTGCCCAGTCATCCATATCTATACCATTCCCATCACTGCCGATCATGTCAGAGAGATCGATATCGGGGAAAAGGGTTCCAGAACCAGTCTCTGCGGCGGGCGGCGGATTGTTTTGCGAAGTATTGATAAATGCATCCGTGTCGGAAGTGGTGTGTATCCAGCTGGGGAGTAACGAATCGAGGAACGAGAACGCTTGGCCGGTGTTGTCTTGAGGAAGTTGGCCATTATCATGATGCCCTGGTGATACCACGTAGCTGAGCGGTGGGAGCCCATTCCCGTTTGCATCGGTAAGGGATGTACCGCAGTGAACAGCTAGATTTCCAGCGGTGTTGACTTCTCGATGCCCTTGGGGGTTCCCTTCACTGGAGGTCTCTGGGGCGGCAATCGGCACGTTCGAGGTCTCCGTCCTGACCAGATCGCAAGAATCACTCGTGTCCAAGCTTCCCTCTCTGTCTAGGCTGCGATGCCAGGTCGAACGTGAGGGCGATCCTAACTCTCCTGCAGGCGCATTCCCGTTGAATAGCGATTTCGGTTGTCGAGGGTCTCTGTGTGGCGCTGCATTCGCAGTTGATGTCCCCATGGGAGTGAGAGTAGGTTCTACTCTCGGCCCATCACCGTCGCCGTTGTCCGGCATCGCAGCCGGCGAGCTTCTTGCCCCGGCGTGACCACTCCAGTTCTGAGAAGCAGTGGGCGTAGGCTGTCCCCCAAGGCCTAGGAGGGTACCAATAGACGGCAACCTAGTATTGTCGTTGCGGGTTGGCCCTGAGCTTGCAGCGGTGGGGTCGAAAGCGGTGCCTGGTCTCTTGCCTTGGACTGGGTCCTGGCTGGCAGGGGAAGACAAGGGCTGGTAATAGTCCATCGTCGCAGGCAGCCTGTTTGTGGCTGCGGTTGAGTCCCGCGGAGTCGCTGAGGCGACATCCTCGAAGCGGGGGGAAGCGGGGAATGCCATGCCGGGACCATGGCTGTGTCCTTTGCCATGAGGAATGTCTTCAGGCACAGGCGTCGACGTAATGACGCTGGCGGTTTGCTCCTCGTCGAGAGAGCAGGTTTCTCGATGACTCGGGGAGCTTGCGAGGTCAACGAGCGCCAGGCGGTGTTGAATGAACAGTGAAGGAGAGCATTCCCGGTCTCCTAGGGAATCGAGGAACAGCATGTGATGAATCTCCTCTGCACTGTTGGATGTGAACCTCGCAATGAAACGGACAGGATCGATCAAACAAAGCTCCGCCGTCGCTTTGTCTCTTAGGCGTTTCACCTCAGTTTTTGCGAGAGTGGCATATTCCCGTACTGCAACCTCTTTGTCTTTTTGATTGATCCTTCGTATACCATCAAAGGCAATCTTTGAGCCTGCACCGTGTTAGCTATGCTATGGGTTGGAAATGGATAACATACGAGCAAGGCCACGCAGCATCACGAGCGCAAGCCCCTCATCCAAGCCAGCCGCGACGGCGGCATTGACGAGCCGATGCTTCCAGAACACAGCCTCGTACGGAGGGTCACCGGGCTTCAAGTCCCCCAGGCAAATATCTAGACATCGAATCAAATGTTGCAGTTCTGCATGGAAACTCACATATTTGTCCGTCTTCGCCTCGTTTTTCTCCTCAAGCTCTACAAGCACAGCACGCAACCCGGCCGTCGTTTGGTTCGTGCAATTTCGCAACCGTGACTCAACGTCCGCTTCTGCTTCAAGGGCTAAAGCAGGAACGCTAAATCCAGCTGAGAGATTCGACTTAGTTTGGTCGAACAGTCGGCGAGCAATTTCGTCAGGCGAGAGTGTTCTTTGTGTC